ATCATCATCATCATCTACACTACTAAGACCACCAACTCTAGCACCAACAATACCTCAATCTTACAAATAAAGACTCTGAAGATCAAGGAAGCCTGGAGACTTACCCAAAGTTACTCAGCTAGTAAATGATAAAGTTAGTGTACTTTTAATCCAAACTAAACCTAATGGCATGAAATTAGCTCTTCTTTTAAGAATGAAGGCTGCTATAATCTCCTAGAAAACGTTTATAACTTAACAGAAAATATTTTATTCACTAAAATTAATTATTTTAAAAATGCTCTGGTTTTGGGCTTCCCTGGTGGCGCAGTGGTTGAGAGTCCGCCTGCCGATGCAGGGGACACGGGTTCGTGCCCTGGTCCGGGAAGATCCCACATGCCACGGAGCGGCTGGGCCCGTGAGCCATGGCCGCTGAGCCTGCGCTTCCGGAGCCTGTGCCCCGCAACGGGAGAGGCCACAACAGTGAGAGGCCCGCGTACCGGAAAAAAAAAAAAAAAAAAAAATGCTTTGGTTTTGATAAGTTAGAAACAGGTTAGAATCTAATGTTGATAGATATGCGCTTGCTTCTTAAACTCAAGGACAAAATTATGTAGGTCTCTAATTGGTTTGGTTTTCTGGGTCTAGTTTGCATCAAGAAGTGTTTGCAGAATTTGTAATACCTAGTTTGTAATCTGTCCACAAAGCAGGAGATTTTGTCTGGATCATTTGTATAACCTCTGTGCCTAAAACAATACCTGGCATATATTTGTTTGATAAAATGCAAACAACTCTGCAAGAAAAACAAATTAAGCTGAAAGGGGTCTACAAAATCTTTCTAGTCTATTCTTTTCAAAGAGGAAAAGTTAACTGCTTAAGACCACAGAGCTGGTTAATATCAGAGATTCAGAAACCATCTGTTTTATTAAAAATAGACTAGTTTTTGTTTTATAATGTACTCCTGAATAGTGAAGTGAACCAGTACTTTTTTTCACATCTATTCAGTGTATACATAATTTGCTTAATACTGTGGTGATACAAATGTGAATAAGAACTGAATCATCTTTTAAATACTTTACATTCTAAATGCGTGGGAGACATTTTACACAATCCACCACAACGTCAATGAGAAAGTGATGCGCTGATTGAGGGAAAATTGAGAGGAGGCTTCATGGAAGAAATATGGTTTAGGTGAAGGCAAGGGAATTCAAGATAGAGGGAAACAGACTTAGCACGAGCAAGGAGACTCTTTTCTAAAATATCATGTGTTGGAGAATATCAAGTAATTTAATTTAGCTATACAGTGTTCACAAATGGCGACTGATATTGTGACCCAAAATAGAGCTTTAAAAACTAACAGCTTTTCACTACATCAAAATACACTACCTTTAGAGCGTATTACTACTGACATCACAGCACTCACTTTCTTATTTGTTTGTTTGCTATCACATATGAGTAAGTTTAAGAAAAAGAATATCTTAAACAGTCTAAGAACTATCTACATTTTTTAAATGTTTTATATTATTATTTTACAAATTTAAAAAATGAAAGCGTTTTTCCTTACCAAAGTAATGCGATGCTTTAGGGTCAAAATTGAACTATTTCAACACCGTGTTGGATTAGGGAGACTCCAACATAATGTTGCATAAAAAGCCTGGGACTCCCGAACTCAAGAAACTTGGGCTCAAATTCAATGAGTTAATGGCTATAAGAAGGAAGCCTGGCTTAAAATAAGCCCTCAACTGGTAGTTACTATTTTTACTGTTACAGCTGTTGTTACTATAGTGTAATGAAGACCAGTGGAAACAAAGTATTTAGAACATTTTAGAAAATATTAATTACTATTCACAAATAAACATTATATGTTATATACAGATACCTTTATGCTAGGTAAGATTACGATACACAGGCTTATTATTATGAGCAGGCTTAAGGAGGTCATTTTGTAAACCATTTCTGGTTTTGATGTATTTCTGTGTATGCTTTTGTTTCCCTGCCAAATTGCTAATTCTTTATTTCTGTCCTGCCGCCAACATTTTCTAGTTCCAACATTTTGTAATTAATAATTTTTTTTCTGTAATTAGTAACAGTAACCAAATTCAGTGTCTTACTGCATTGAGTTGGTTAGGCTCTATTTCAGTTCCTATTTTTCCCATTATAAACTTCTATTTTTAAGCCACATGATAAAAAAAAAAATTTCCTTAGGCTGAGTCTTGAGAGACATGATTTTTGCATAATTATTTTTTTTCAAACAAACTAAAAAATGTCAACCATATATTTTTAAGTTAAAATGGAATTTTCCCCTGACTTTATCCAACACCTACAGTGGGGAGTGGGAGATGCTTGATTTCAGAATTTTTGGTAAGCAAACATTAAATGACTTACCAATACAGAAAAGTAGTGTGGATTCATCAGTATTGATTTTTATCATTGTTAATGAATTGCACTGTCAAAATAACTTCAACATATGATCTCTGCATTCCCATACTTAAATTATGAGGCGGTGTGACCAATGTATATAAGTTATGGAGAAGCCACAAGAAGAATTAGTGCAAATTTTGTTATCTGTGAGGGGAATTTTTTTTTTAATTTATCCTTTGTTGGAGTGAAAAAGACTGTCAAATGTATAATTTGATTTTACCATTTCCTTTCCTGCCTGAGCTACTAGGTGACCTCATTCTGCTAATCGTTAATGTCACAAGCTATGAGGCACAATAACATAGTAGCAAGATAATTTTAGGAAGAAAGGGTGGCTAGTTATATTGTTATATTAAGCTTTTGTATAGAGCTTAATTGGTCCAGGCACTATTCTACATGTTTTATGATATACTAAAGAAGAAAGGGGGGCTAGAGATAAGGCAACCAAAAGCAAGGAGCAGAAAAGTGGCAAATAGAAATGGTAATAAGGAAAGGAATGAATATTGAAACAATAAGGTGAAAAACAGACACATCACAGTCAAGTGTTGTGGGACATATCAGTAAGACTGTTTAAAGTCCATTTGAAAAGAGTTCATAATTTGTGACTTTATTATTTCTAAAGTCACCAACAGTCAAGTAGTTCAAAATTATACGCAGTGTATGCCATCTCCGTTATTTTTTTAATTGTTATTTCACTGGTTGTGAGAACATTCTCTCCTCCCCTGAACTAAACTGCAATTTGAATAATGCAACTTAAGCTCCTTTGGTATTACTTAATCATTCAATCATTCAAACATATTCCCTGGGAGAGACAGTCTATTGTGGGAGTTAGGATCTTGCCCTTGAGAGCTAGACTGGCTCTGCTCAAATCTGGGTTCACTACCACTAATGAAAGTGAGTAAATACATCACCTCTCTGTGCCTCAGTTTCCTCATAAGAAAAATGAGAATAATCAACAACACCTACTACATAAGGTTGCGGTAAGGATTAAATGAGTTAATATATGTAACCTACTTAGAACAGTGCCTGACAGTAAGGGCTATTAGTCGTGTTAACAGCTAGGAAAATAGCAGTGCCTGATCTCATGGCGCTTACAGCCTAGTGGACAAACATCCTCACTGCACTTTGTTTAGAACTCAACTAGGACACTCAAAATATTTGGTGAATAAAATTTCATTAGCCCTGTGATGTTAAGTAACCAGGAGTATATACATGCTTTTAAAATAGGAGAAAATATAAAGGAGCTGCTTTAAGATAAAATTTTTAAAGTGAAAGAAACAAGATTCTTCTTAAGGTAGGTATGGGCATTTATTCAAAAGGTACCCATAATGTTGGTCTTCTGGCAAACTGCAGTGGCAAGGCTTGGCTGTAACAGTCTTTTATAGACTAAGGAACCATTTGTGTGATCACAGACCAATTTTTTTTTACCTCATCTGGGTCTGGTTTCCTGACTTCTAAAATGAAGGAATTGAACTAGGTGATCTCTAAGGCTCTTGTTTGCGTATAATATTACATTAATAAATTTGGTGGATTTATCTGGAGGAATGAAGTTCTCAAAATAGGGTTTTAAAAAATCATGAAAGGCACAAGAACACAAAGATAGCATGAAATTAAAGGACTGAATTCATGCTCACAGGGTATGAATTTACAGTTAAAGAAAACGAATACCCTTAAGTTTGGGGCTGAGATGATTTGTTTACTGGACTATCAAGGTATTCTACCAGCATATATGTTACATATTTGTTTTCAAAGTAGTCTGTTACAACGCATATCATTAAACAATCAGGAATGAAATAACAGATGGTTTAAAAGTTCCTTATAATACACATGTCCTTTATCATGTATCAAATACAATTTTGAATATTATAATTCAGTATGAGGAAAAAGTAATACCCAATTAGAAAGACAAAATTTATTTATGTGAATTACAAAGTATGAAAAAAAACCCTCTCTAAATTAAAAGGAAAAATTATAGGAAAAAGAATTTCTAAATATTCTTTGAAATGAGATGAGAGCTCCCATTATAAAAGAAGTCTTTCTTAACATGATACATTCAAAAAATTATGTCCAGTACTAATTCTATATATGTTTTATGTCACAAAGGGCTGAATGTTTCCTTGAAACAATGAGCAAATTCAAAGCTGAAAAGACAACATAGTTTTAAGTGGAACTTAAAACTGAAAAAAAGATGGTTTTCAGTGAAACTGAAGGTGTCACAGGCCACATGTGACACCAGGTTATGGTATGGTTCATAAAACAACAGCCACAGAGATAGCATGCCAAGCAATGCTTTATGTATTTTAAAAGTTAACAAAGGGAGTGAGTAGAGAAATTAAAAGACATACTACTGAATGATGCTACTTAAGTTGTTTCAATGTATACCAAAGAAGAGACCCTGAAATATTTTTAAATGAATGGCCCTAGAAAAATAAATTAAAATAAATAAATAAGTATTTTAGTAAAATAAAAATCTAACAAACATGGAAAAATTCTTTTGGAGATTAAAATTTTCATTCTTGGCTGTTAGATATAATAAAGCTTATACTAGTCCTTTTAAGAATATACAAACCACACCTATGCCTCTCAGTGTCCTGTGCAGTTTACCATACCTGTGGATAGCTGTCAGTCCTTGGCAAAACTGATATGTCATAGGTGGCAGCAAAGTGGCTTTTAGCTTGCTGGATTTGGCCATAACGTTCTCTTTTTCTCCACTTGGCCCTTCGATTTTGAAACCAAACCTAATTTTTTAAAAAAGTAGAATTTTAGGCAAGGAATAGTTGAAAATGCAAATATGATGTTCAAAGACTTCAAATTAGAAAGGTAAACCAGGTCAACATAATTACTAAAAAGGGAATTTTTTTATATTTGAAAAGGAACCACAAATTTTACTTTCTATTTTACCCTGACAAGTGCCATGTCCATGAGGCAATATAATTTAATACAAAGAGACAAGACATTTTCAAAAATTTATTTAAGACATCTGAGCCTCTGTTTTTTCATTTACAGAAAATAAAAAAGAATTAGATTATATGACCGTGAAGATTCCTTATATCTTCAAATTATCACAGATAATAATCCCTCTCTCAGAGAATGCTGCAAGTCTGGAAGACATTCATAACGTTTTAGTTTGGGGCTATGTATACAACATTAACCCAGCCAATCTATAACCAAATTAATATCTGGGTCTGTCAAAACAATTGGCTCTTCTGGGTTGTACCCAGACTTAGAAAAACTTAGAAAAATGTAAACATAAAGATTATATCTAAAACATATGGCATCAGCAGAAATATCATGATTATTTAGAAACAAAAACCATTAGGATTATATATATTATATTGATTATGATAAAGACTTTGGGTAAAATGGTATCATCTGAAGCTGAACTATGGTTTTAAAATATACAAATTGTTTATTATGTAAATGACACCACTTACTTATTTTCTCTTATAGAAAATGCTCATAAAATCTTCAAAATCATTTTTCCGATTTAAAAGACTTACGGGTAATGTAAATTAAAAAAGAAACAGGGCAGATATAATCAACTGTCAAGAAAGCCTGTGAGTTAGTACGGCCTCTACAGGGTCACTAAACTGCCTTCCAAATCTCTCTAATTAATTGCATAGATGAAATATCCATTATAACACCTATCTTCCTCAGAGGGTTAAATATTAACTAATTCACACTTGTAGCTTTCCAGAATCATCATTTTAATATTTTAAGGTATTAAAGCTCTCTTTAATATAGCTCTCTATACAGAAAATTATATTCAATATGTATAATTTGATATTCAATATGTATAATTTACATAAGCAGCTTTCAGGAAGCTCTTTAGTCTTTACAGAACTATATTCAGAATATAAAATACTTAGGAAAGAAGCTGGAAATGAAGTATAAAAATGCAAATTGTAAAAAGCCTTTCATTAAAATTTATTTGAAATTTTTACTCTTTTTCATATTCAATTCTAATCTTTTATATCTTTACCTTCACACTTATGGAGACATATTAATACTCAGTTTGGTGCGTAAGCATGTACTGCAAATTTAAGATGGCACTTTGAAGAGTTTTCAGCAATTAAAAGAAGGCAAAGACAGCTACCTGTTCAGATGGTTTCTTAGAACACTGCTGGGAAGTGTGTATTATCCACTATATTCAGGGCTTAAGACAACATCAACAACAAAACAAAACAGAACACACTTTCTTGCTCTCTCCACAGCAGGAACATACTGAGGGAATTTAGTAATGAGGGCTTTTCTACTGAGAAAAAGACCTTGACAATCTCCTTAAAATGGGTGCCAATTACCACTCTGATGTGAAAAGCAGAAAAGAGAACCATCTGAGTAAATTAGGTTCAGGCTGGCTCTCTGTGCATGTTCTTAGACAAAAATTAATCAGAACTTGGTGAAATGATAAGGGGAAAACATGCTTTGTGCACAGCTGATCACTGTGTGTGTGTAAACACATTTTTCTATGGTTACAAGTATAACTAATTTACATATATGGACACAAGACCAAAAAACACACGTGGGGGGTTTGTGTTAACACTTGACAGTTCTAAAATTCTTCCTTAGCGTTGACTTTCTATACATTTACTTCCTGAACTAAGATAAAGTAACCATTTGTCTCCGCAAACTAAAGCAAAAATCTGCTGCTTGGTATTCCTGCACCACCAGATGTTGTCTTTACTGATGTATAAGGGCCTTACAATGGCTCAATCTTCAGAAGGAATACTATTACTCCACTCAGAAAAAATTTTTTATTTATTTCTCTGTTCTAGTGGTTTATGGGAATTTCAAAATTCAAATTATTTTATTTGGAGTAGTAAAAACACACACAAAGAAAAAGGTTATTCTCCTGAATTATTGTTACTTAGGAACTAATAAAATATAGTTTCGAATATCAAGGCTAGTAAAAATAAAATACACTTAGGAAGTAGAATTTTACCCAGTATTTAAAAATTTTTTTTCAAATTATTAAGAAATTTAGTATATCGAATCATCCAATTTTATAATTTGAATATAACATATAGATATAATTTAACTGAATTTATATATTTAAAAATTACTTTAAGATTATTATTCCTATTGCCTCTGCAAAAATCATGTAAGTTATCTAATGGAATGGCATGTACTGGCAATTCCTGGGGCTAGAAAATTGTAGGTGAGCTATATGATCTTTCTTTAATTATGTATAGTGAAAATAGTTTATGGTATTCATAACAACTGGGAGTTTGTGAGACTGTTTCATTTTTCCTTGTTTTATTATAACCCCAACCTCAGTAAAATTATAGACGTATGGACCACTATACAAATAAGTTACCAATATAGGGTATATAACCCCAAAAGAACTTCAACGGCTGATAAAATAGAAAAATAAAATACATGGATTACTAGATTGGATAGCTATGACTAGTTTTTTGTCCTTTAAAAATCACTTTTTGAAATCAGAAATTTGTTCATATTCTGTTCTTTTAAAATAATCATTAGTTTTTATGCCTATGTAATAATTCAAGTGTTCTTTTCCTTTATACTTGTGTGCGAGCTGTCAAATCCTTTGCAAGTAAAAAGTAACTTTAGTAGACTTACATGCTACACTTACATACTACACCATTCTACATCTTCAGTAGGAGAATCAGTTTCTTCCTTTGTAGTAAAACACAACTATGGATCAAACACTATCCCCCCTCCAACTCCGCCCTCCAAACACACACACACCCAAGCCTTCATTTGGCTCCTACCTGGACCCTGGCCTCAGTCAGCTCAGTCCTCAGAGCAAGCTGTTCTCTGACATATACATCCGGGTAATGGGTTTTCTGAAAGACCTTTTCCAGCTCCTCCAGCTGCAAGCTGGTAAAGGTGGTTCGGTGTCTCCGTTTCTTACTGCTGGATACGTTGCTGTCACATTTATCCCCAAGTTCATCCAGTTCTCCCTTCTCTGGCATCCCTTTCACGGGAGACATCCGGAGACTGTTACAGTTGTCCATAGCTCTATTTAGTTCGGTGTGAAGAGGCTGTCCTTCTACTTTAGTGATCCCATAGTTCACTGTACCCAAAGGGGGAAAACAACAGTTCTCAGGATTGCAAAACATGGATGAAGGACTTAAGTTGAAGTAATTTAGAGCATCAGGCAAGTGGTCCATTATGATTTATTGTGCCAGTATTAATTTGATCATCACATTATTAATTCACTTTGGGCAGGTTTAGAATCATCTAAAAATGTGTACATGGAACTCATATAATTTGTCAAAACACACAGTTCTATTTTCCAGGATTAATGTAATGTTTATGCACATAATTTATAATCAAATTAAAAGACGCTCTAGTTTAAAAAAATCTAAGCGAGCCAAATTTAATATGTCTTATTTATTCACAGCAGACAAAAGTAAGCTACTTACATGGCTCAAAAAGGATATTTCAATTTTAAATACTATCCGTAAACCAAAATCCAAACTCTTTTCAAAAGTTATGTTTCTCCTCCACACAAAACCTATGGACTATAGATTTAAGATATGGTATTGTTTCCTACTGTATTTCCAATATTTCAACTGTATATCATGTCTGCATTTACATTTTTTATTTCAAAAAGCGACCTACTAAGTTAAAAAATGAATTTTCCATCAGTTTCTGTGTGTGTTTCCTACAGAAAATAATAAGATTTAGGTAGACTTCTTTAGCTTAAAAACTCATTTGCAGTTCTTTCTAAATTTGTCAAATTTATGCTTAACTCATGAAACATGTTTTAAGACAGAAAGCTTTACTCGTCCCTCTAGTAAAGCACGGAAATTAAAACATCTATTAAAAGATTACAAAGGATGTCATTTGGCATTCTGTTTAGGGGTGCTTTAGTTTTAGTGATTTCCTCCAGATTTGAGTGCATGCCTGGCAGTATGATATAAAACGAAAATATATCATATGGTGCCACACACACACACACAAATGTAATGGAGGCACATAATGCAACGGGAAGCATTTTTCTTAAGTCAGCCCTGCCACAACAATGGTTTCCAATGAATTGTTATACTTTTTTCGTTTTTGTCTATTTTAAAATTCTCTCATGATGTATTTTTACAACTGCTTTAACCATCATACAAATGTATTGAACTCTAGTACCTAGGTAACTTAAATACGTTAGAGTATTTAGGCAAAAAAAGATGTGAGGTAAAACTAAACAGAAAGAAGAGCCTGGACATTAACAAACAATACGGTTTTGTCTCCGCGGGCAGAGTTAAATGGGGAACTGCGGTAATTAGGGATGGGGGAGGGGAAGCAGGCGTGAGGGTAAGGGCATCTCAGGAGAAAGACTTCCTAAATTTAGCGGACTGCTTGTTGCCTACATTTATCTTAATACTTTCCTATTAAAATCCCTCCTAGTAGTATGATGTTCTTTAAAAACTTGATAAAGTATCAAAAATCACCTATTTCTCTTCTTATTTTTGGAATCCCGACAATTTAAATAAAAATTATGATTGAGTCGTATCCAGCTGTCAACAGAGGACATTTCAGAACCATTTTTTAAAAATCCTGTCCATAGAAATAACTTTATGTATACCTCTATAAACTTCAAAATAAAAATATTGCAATGTGAAATACAGCCAGAAAGCCAAAATTTCAGTGTATTAAAATTTTTTTTGCGTCTTCCTAAATAAATGACTGAGATTTAACTGATTTTCTCTATTGTTTGCGCCTTTATTTTTTATTTAACCTTGCAAGTCAGAAGTTACTTGCAACGTTGAACAAAATAAGTAAAATATACGAGGTCGTTTTTTAAGCTTATTGCGTACTAGGTATTTAGAAAAGGAGCTTCTATGAGCCGGTGCCTTGCCAGATTTTGAACTACCATTAGAATAGGGGGCGGCAGGCTTGCTGTAAATATTTCACACTTAATTCGTTTGTTATTTTAAAACAACCCGCTCCTTACAGCTTAACTGTTGAATATATACAATGATAAGGAAAAGTCCTCTTGGAATTGTAAACTTGCTTTAGCTGTCGCGATCTAAAAAAATAGGTTTGTATTGGGTTACAAGATAGAAAAGATAGATGGTTTGTTTTGATAACATTTTGACTTTGAGATACTTGGCCATCCAAAGTTAAAGATTTCATCCAGAAGCATTCCGAAAGTCTTCTTAGGTGACTTCTACGTGGAGTCAGAGAAATAGACAACGCAGAATTCGGGAGTGAGTGATTATATTGAAGATTCTTTGCCCGAAGCTATTTCAAGTGATTTGGCGTTTAACAAAAATGTATGTTGTATCGCAAACCGAAAGAAGTAGAAATCACAGATCCCCACAAGCTAATCTAGTAACCCTCTAACTTCACAAAGAAAAATATCGTTGCGTCTTGAAAAGTAAAAAACATTTTTCACCTAAGTTTTCTTATTCGTGACGGTAGTGACGTCCTCTAACGAGCTGTGATGGATTTCAGCTCCTCCTGCCTGGGCAGCTCGGCGGGCTCGCAGAGGAAGCGCGCTGTCTTGACTCAATTACGCTCTATTTAGCGCCCTATCAGTTTACGCCGGGGTCCTGGATAGAGGGACTCCAGGACCCGTGGAGGACAGCGAAAGGAGAACCGCGCGGAAGTAACCGGGTGCGGGTTCCTTCCTTGGCTCTGCAGCAGCCAAAACTCCGCTTCCAAAAATAAGCAGCGTTCCACTGCCTTCCTCCGCCCTCCAGCTCTCTCGCTCCCCCTCCCTCCCTCCCTTCCTTCCTCCCTTCCTTCCTTCCTTCCTTTTTTCCTTCCTTCTTCCTTCCTTCCCTCCCTCCCTGCTCCGACCACTCCCCGCACTCCGGATTTGCGGGTGGGCTTCCGCGACCCCGGCTGGAGCAGTGGACTCACCGCTGCCGTCCTGACAGGGCGAGGTCCTCTCCAGGCGCACGTGATGCTCGGCGCGGGGCAGGGGCCCGAAGGCCTGCACGCATTTGCCCGCCGACGCTTTGCTGTAAAAGGACTCATTGTCCAGCGTCTCCATAACGTGCTCCAACGCGCCTCCTGCGCCCATGTAAAAGTTACTGTTTTTACTCGGTGGGCTCTTGAGGGCAAACTTCTCGCTCAGAAACTCCATAATCCTGGAAAGCTGTCTCGGAGCTACTGGAGCTCGGAGGCTGGAGCGCGCTGGGGGAGGGAGCGAGGGGGCGGGAGGAGGGAGGGCCAGAGAGGAGCGAAGGGGAAAGCAGGCGCTGCGGCGCGGGGAGCTGCCCGGCTCCGAGCCCTTTAAGACGTCCCGGCTGGAAAGGGGGCACCCGAAGTTGCTTTTATATCTTGAAACTCAGCTGGGCTCCTCGGGCAACCTCCCAGTTCTAATGAATATGAAAATAGGCAAGCGACTAACTCCACCCCGGACTCCCCTCCGCCCCCACCCCACCCCCATCTTCCCCCACTTACCCGGGAAGGGCGCGTCCAGGCCTAGGTTAGACAGACAGCTCCATTTCAGACAAATGCCAGCAGGGATGAGGCCACGACACCCAGAAACATTGCCGTCGCGACAGTGGACTGGCATTTCGGAAGAGCTCGGTGAGATCGCAAAGCAGTTAACCCTCCACTCCCCGCTCTCTGCGCCCTCCCGGGCCGCCCGCCCGGCACCCGGTCCCCACCCCACCCCCACGCCGGCCACTCACTACCAGAAAGATTTAGAGGCGTCTTACGAACTTGAAAGGAAGTACTGCTCTAAAGGGCTTTTACTTCATCCGTAAATCGTTTATGTGGAAGATCCACATTAATCCGAAGCCCAAGAAGCCGGGTACGTTGGCAGCTATTAACTGGGATGGCCGTGGTAGAGGGGCCGCTTCTCCTTCCAATCCCGAGGAGCTCGGCGTCCGGGGGCTCTCGGCGCTCACGAACTCGTGGCCTTTTCTTTCTTTCTGGAATGCGGTGGCGTGTGGATGTGGTGGCAATGGGAGAGGAAAGCCGAGCAAGAGGCACTGAAAACATTATACCGATACCAACCTGATTTGCCCACCCTTCTTCCACCCCTCCCCTTGGTCCACGATTTTATCATTAGATCCAGATTATTTTAAGAAACCCCGAGAGGAAAAGTACCTCCTAAGGGCCCCTAGTATAGGCCAGAGAGAGGTTCGTTACACAAAGGGGTTTAAGTACGAGGAAGGCCTTCAGGGTGGTTTTCAAAAGATTATTATTTTACTCTTAAATGGTCGCGATCGAGTTTGAAAAGCGCGTTCGGGGAGCGACGGGCGCGCGCGGAGCTGGGCCAGGACCCCGGTCCCAGCCCGAGGGGATGGTGGGAGGCTGGGGAGCTGGCCGCTCCCTGAGGGCAGGCAGCACTGCGGAGTTGAAAGCCCCTCTGTGAGGCTTCGGGACTGCCTTTGGTTTCGGAGGAGCCCGCCGCGTCGGAGGGAAAAGCGTTCAGCGCCTTGGGCAAGGAAAGGCCGCCATTAGCAACAGGCCTCTTAAACTGGCAAATAGGGTGAAAACTCCCACAAGTTGGGGACTACGGGTTGCGCCCTCCAAGGGAGGCCTCTACCCGACGGCCTTTTTCGCACAGGCCCTCGCAGCGCCCGTCGCGTCTCCCCAGGACAGCCGGGCAGTCACCCCGCGGCCTTGGGCACGCGGGGCAGCCCCGACGCTGGGGTGGCGAGGCCAAGCCCAATTCTGGCGAGCCTCCGGATGGGCTCGGGAATTTCCACTTTCTTCGGGGTGTTGGCTGTCCTAGGACTCACTGGGAGACCCTCTTCGAGGCCAGCATGGGCCACAGCCGGGGAAGAATCATGGAGCGCTGCGCACCTCAGAGCGGCGCTTCAGCACTGCCCAAGAAGCGGGGCCGGTCCTAAACCCAGATCCGGCCGAGTGGGACCCGAGCAGGCGCCCCGGAGCAGCAGCCTCCATTCTCCCAAGACGCTTCTCCCGAGCAGGGGCACAAGCTCGATTCACGTGGCGCCGCGCTCTGCACGGCCTGGAGCGCGCACTTAGGTTCTCGCGAGTTGACACCATTCCTGAATGATACAACTTTAGCTGTATTATTACTATCTCCGGAGCCGTGCAGCCGGCACCAAACACTAACTGTTAAATCTCAAAAGGGGCGGAAAGCTTTCAGGGACTGGGCTCAGGGAGAATTCCAGACTGCACCAAGGCGCGCGAACTCCAAGCTTGGCATCCTCGGATGGGGGGTGTGGGGTGCTGCGGGGGTGGAGTACGCGGGAGGAAGGCCAAGGAAAAGCTGGCGAGAGATTGCTCTGGTACATCCTATCCATGCTTAAGGCGAAGGAGCAAGCTATGCGCTTCCTGAGCACTTTCTAGCTGTTCCTGGGCCATCCCTACAGGAATGTCGGAAGTCGAGTTATCCACTCACTCTTATCCGGGTTGATAATTTTTGATCCTCTCCTAACCGCTTCTGTACCTTACCTTCAGATGTTCTGACAGCCTGCCTTTCTCTAATAGACACGGGGAGGATAAGAGAAATGGTCGTTTAATAGGTTTTTCAAAAATTCGCAGCAGCAAGAACAACGCCTTGCTGACTTGAGGAAATATACAAACAACTCCTAGCCATGAACTTAGTTACCTCGTAGAGCTCTGTCAGCTTGTTTATAAATATGCGTCTTAAGAGCCCTGAATTCCCTGAAAAACGTTCGGTGTCTCTTAAATGAAAGACATATGATGCAAGCTCTAGAGTACTTGTAAACCAATAAAGGTCCGGCTCGCAGAGGAAACTACAGAAGAGCCAGGGTCCACAGCTGCCTAGTAAACCCATTTCCACCCCACACCTCAATCCCACTTTTGATGGTAGTGGTTGGAGGGATGGGTGCAAGGTGTCACCAACCCCACTTAATATCCCTGGAGCCTCTTGGAAATGCAAATCTATTACACAGAGTCCTGTATGTTTGGGGACATGTAACCACATGTGCCCAAAATGTAGGGAACAGCTAATGGCAAACTCCCATAACGAATGCTTAATCTGCAGTTTTTGGCAAGAAGCTGGGTCTCTGGTTGCCAAGAGCTGCATTAAATGGATTCTGAGAGGTTGAGATGGAGTTTATGGTAATGTCACAGCTCTAACCATTGGAGCCTTAAATAATAAATTTAAAATAATACTAATTAAAACAACAATAATTAAATGATTTCTGGAAGGCACAAGAAGGGAGAAGAAACTGGAGGCTGATTGGATTGGAGGGTGTCTTGCCCTCTCTGAGATTTACCTGGGCATATTCTGCCTGGTGCTTTGAGGATAACCTTCTTGGAAATTGACCACAGCACTTTGATAAATACTTTCAGCTACTCTATCTAGAGCCTACATGGCTCTTTCCTCTTCAGCAGGCTTTAAAAACCTGCTTCTAATCCACATTCCTCATCCCAGCCTCCCTAGTTCCAAAGGGTCAGCATGGCTAGGGCCCCAGGGTGCAGTGCCTCGAGGAACCATGGCTGGCCAGAGAGACCCAGTTTATTAAACCAGGTTCTAATTGGGATTTTATCTCAGCACACTCAGTCCATCACCCCCAGGCTACCATTCCCTTCTTTCCTCCACCTTTCTATTTCTCCTTCGAGAGAATTGTTCATCACTTTCCATACCTGGAACCTGGGTTCTAAATCCAGGATTCAGCTCCCCATCTTTCATGTTAGTGAAGCAATCTACCTGGCAAAAAGCACTTGCAGGAGGTGGTGGGAGTGGGGTGAGAGTGGGGGTAGGAGAGGGACAGAGATGGGGAGCCATCAATTTCTTTTAAATCCTAACAAAATTTAGGACATTCTAGGATGCTGGCACTTTCAGATCCCAGGGTGCAGCTACTGATGCTTCTTCACATCTCCTTGATGGGATTGAGGCAGAGTCAGGAAGGAATGTGCAGAGTCCAGGAAGCAAAAGGATGAGGGTTAACATGACCTATTGCAGATTCAAGTCTCAGCCTCTTTGCAACACTGTTTTCTCATTTCTCTGGCACCAGGGATGCTAACACAGCGGAAAGGCTGTTTTGTGAAGTGACTCTGATGTTCTGATTTGAAGTTACATTTAACATTCCTGCAACCAGTTTGTGGTTGTTCCTGCTGTTGTTGTTAGGTGCCAGCTCGCCAAACACAGTGATTTGGGATGTGTTTAAAGTTTTCTTTATTTAGTTCCCTTTAGAGCCTAGAATTAAAGTGATTAAATTAAAACTAGTTTAAAAGCCCACTGAAATGACTGACTCCTCCTCTCCCCCCCCCCACATACAAAGGTAATTTCAGGTAAGTCAAGTTCAGATAAGGGATTGGCTGTCAGTTTGACTTATTTTACATTAAAAAAAAATTCTCATGGTCTGAAAGTTGCTTTTGATGCCCCCCTCCCCCATGAGACTATATTTTGGGAAATGAAAAATATTTTGAGTACATACATCAAAGCAACAGTTGAAGCAATGTGTACACCACTCTGGTTCCTTTCTCAACTTCTTGAAAGAAATGTCACACTTATATAGTAATAGTGGGAATGTCAAGATAGGATTGCAAGAATTTTCATCTTAGCCCTTTCTTTTTTTGGCAAGAGTTTGAGGCATACTAGTAAGTAAAGCTAGGAAAAATGCGTGCTGAATTAGATGAACTATGACAAATGTAGAAAAGCAGGAGTCTGGAGAGGGGAGGGGAAGCTGGGTGGAGAGAAAACTCTCATGAAAAAGTACTAAAATAATTGAATGTCATGTAGGATGGCAAGAAGCCAGGTGGCCTCATGTTTTGTGTGTGCTCCGCTGCTGCTTTCCTTCCCTGGCTTCATCTTCACCCTTCCCACAGCTCTACAGACATAACAGATACAGAAATATAGTTTGCATCGAAGCAGCTCAAGAGGTTTTCATCAAAATAAAAAATATATATGTCCATATATATACACAAACACAAAGAAACATTTCAGCTTTCCTTTAAAATATCTGTTCCATCATCTACTCCAGAAAACAACCTATAGACTAATATATAATTTTGTCATATTTTTGAAGCTTCTGTATTTTAATTTAAAAAACAATGGCCTGAATTTTAATCAGTCCCGTCAGTCTTTCAAGTGTGCTGTTAACAAAGCTCTCAAATATAATGGATTGAATTTACCTGTGATTTCAATCATAGTACGTATTCTGGTATTTTAGAAATTCACATGCTTTTTCGAAGACCTATGCTTGTTTTGAATTTCAACTTGTTTCAGTAATAGTCTCTTACAGAGTTGCCCTTTTCTTAAAGAGAGAAATGGATTTAATTTCTGCTCTCCTGAAGGATCTAATTTAAATGTGAAAGTCTAAAATGACTATTTTCCCCACTTGCAAATACTGTGACTTATCTAACATGCCACTGTTTACATTTAGTAGAGAAATGTATTTTATTACAAAT